TAAGCTTTGTAGTGAGTTTTGACATCTGGACGTGTGTATGAATTTCCTTTATTTCTATTACTGATTGTGATCAGAGAACACATTTGTATGATTCAGTCCTTTTAAATTTGTTGAGGCTTGTTTTCTGGCCTAGCATATGATCCATCCCAGAAAATGTTTCATGTACACTCGAGGAGAATGTTTATGTGCATTCTACTGTTGTTGAGTAGACTGTTCGCTAAATGTCTGTTAGGTTTAGTTTGTGTATAATATTGTTCAAGACTTATATTTCCTTGTTGATCTTCTTCCTAGTTGTTCTATCCATTATTGAAAGTGGAGTATTGAAATCTCCAACTGTTACTGTTCCTAGTGTGGAACCTCTGCCTTTTGAGCTAGGGTAGGCATGACTGAGGCCCACTTTACTTGGCCTGATGTGCCTGGAGTAGAGTTTCTGCCACATGAGTGGTGCCCGGGTGGAAGAAGAGAGCCCTAGACTTCTTGGCTGCGCTTGCTTGGAATACGGCTGCAACACATAGCTGAGGTGGATGAGAAGTGCTGCCTGTCTGCCCCTCCTGGGGAGATATCTTGGCCCTAAATTAGGAGCTGGGGTGAGCGGGAGCCCCATGTTCTTGGTTACTTCTGCCTAGAGTATAGCTTCTGTAACACTGTGGGGCAGGAGTGAGTTTGTGGCTCCAATTCCACAGATTCTTGCTGTTCTTACCAAGATTTAATAGTATTTCCTGCATAATTGTTTCTCCATTTGCTCATACAGTCCTTAAACACACTTTCCAGAGACTTTAAATGGTTGCTTTTTATAATTTTTACCAGTTATGGTTGCTTCACTGAACGGAGGATCCGTGGAGCTCTTCATGCCACCATTCCGGAAGTGTTCTCTCTCCGTTTTCTTTTAAACTGGAAGTTGGGTCTAGAGTCTTGATTAGGTTAAGGCTGATCATTTTTGATATTTCAGAGGTGATGTTGTCTGCTTTTTATTGCATCCCATCAGGAAGCACTTAAGGTCAAGCTGTGCAGCTGTTGGTGATACTAAGTCTGCTTTTTTGGTTGAACTGGTGGCTGACAGATCCCTTCATTTTAAAGGTTTGTTTGTTTCTTCATTGCATTTAACAAGTAATATGTGGGGTGATACTGGGACACACTGGGAATATTCTGTTCCCCAACAACTGTTCTTTCAGTTAATGGTTTTAGCATCTGTTATAGATCCATGCCTGAATAAATTATTTCTATGGGGGAACCTTTTTTGATTTTGAAAGTCTTTTTTCCTTCAATTTTTATTATAATTTTACACCTTCTTTTTCTAAGTCAGTTCACCTACTCACTGGTCTGGCATTTAATAGTGGGGTGGTGTTATTGTTTGTGTGGAATGTCCTACAACTAAGGACAAACACAGATAGTATAGTAGTCTAAAGAAAATTGTTATGGCTGAAGTTAAAGTCCCTACAGGCCTGAGAAGTCTGTTTGTGGGTGGAGGCAGAGGTGCTGAGTTTTCCCTTCTCTATTTGTTTCTTTTAATGAACATTAGTAAGTTCCCAACTCTAGGCACAACTGTATATCTTTGGACTTTGGATTTTCCAGAATTGGGAGAGTATCTTACAGACCAAGCCTAGAAAGTCCAGTTACAGGGTTTGAATATTTTAGACTCTTGGTCACATATTGCTAGATTGTTTAGATTTTAGTAGAATCAAAGTCTACAATAAGTCCAGTAATGATTAAATTGCACTGACTGAATTGTGAAATAGTGAGAAGGGCGAAACGCCTGCATTTTTATTTTCACCTTCTCCTTTCCTGTTATTGTTCTTAGGGAAAAAAGAGTGTGCATTTAGTTTGAATAATTCTCTTCTGTAGTGTAGTTGAGAGCTAATAAAATACTCATAAGCAGTATTTCCTCTTGCTTATGATTTTGAAACTATACAAATTAATGAAAATCAAAGCAGCCTCGTTGTATACATTATTAATTAGAAAATTTAGCCAAATTTATTCTTGCTCTTTGCTTGCTTGTCTCAAGGGTCTTAGTAATTGATAAGGATACAGAAAGGCAAAGGATACATTCTTTTAACATAGGTAGAGGTTTCTCTCACTGCACGGAGACCTCTACACAGAGGAGACACCACAGCACCTCCGCTGTGAGAGACCTGCTTCCTTGGCCTTCAGGCCTATCTGGTGATGATCTCTGTGAAGATCCTGTCACGTCCTCTGAGAAGTACCTTCAGCTGTTCCCACAAGTTAGTCAGTATCTGTTTCTCTCTCTTCTACCTTCCACGGTCCCTTCCTTCTCTTCTCGTTTCTTTGTTCCCTTCCTCCCTCCTCCCCTTCTCCCTCCGGCTTTCTCTATCACTCTCCGATCTCTCCAGTTCTTTGGATACTAGTTGTGTGTCTGCTTCTGTACTAGGTGCAGATAACAGTAGCAATTCTCTTATATTTCTGCATGCTAATTCCAAAGAAAGGGTATTGAAGGTTAATTTTCCATGTGTACCACCCTGCAAACTGACTACTAGTCAGTAATCATCTGTCTTTTATCCCAAATGAAATTTGTTTCCACACTGTTACATTTGAATGACTCAGTATATTCCCCTCCCTCATTCTTCATTGCCATTGCTGTCCTCTCAAGAAAACTCCCCAAATAAGAATATTTAATACACAGAAAATGTGATCCTTTTAGATTTCTGATGGATTCAGGAGTCTTTTTGATGGTTTCTCCAGGAACCTATTATGGGAGAGCATGGTGTGTTTATAGGTGCTTGGGAGTAGGGTGGTGTGGTGAGGCCATTTTATGTTATATGGGATTCCAGAGGCCTGGTTAACAGGCCTCACTCTGCCATGTATTAGTTTGCTGTATGACCCCGGGCAACTCTTGAGAGCTGTAAGTTCTTCCTCTATAGAACAGTGATATTAGTCCACATGCCAGATTTGCTTTTTATAGGTTTGTTAGGAGATCTTTAAAAAATTTAATATGCTTTAGTAATGTGATATTCTTAATAATCCGCTATAGGTCTGTCATTTCTGAATTATTTTTGATGATGCATTTAATCTGCAATTTAGGAACTGATTGCTGCTTCAAGCTTCTTGTATAAGTTAATTAGTATTCGGAAATCTTTCCAATAGAAGTTATGTTACTCGGACTTAAAAGCCTTTTTGCCCATCAGAGAACCATTCATAATATTGTTTCTGTGGGGAAACTCTGGCTTCCAACTGGTATTCTAGAAACTTATTTTTCACAGTTTGTTTTAATGATAAGAATTGTGCTCTGTGCCTCATTATCCCCCAGAATTTGGGTAGAGAAAGAGGCCCTTTCTGATTCTTATCATCCTGACAACTATCACAGTGCTTGGCACAAAATTGATTCTCCAAAAATACATGAACTGAGCTCTCTCTCCCAGACTGGATGGGCTTCTTGGGAGCAAGGAACAAAAGCAAGGGGAGTATACAGTGATTTATGTCAGTCATTTCTCAATAAAACTGCAAAAAAACCAAAAAGCAAGGGGAGGAGGGGACAGGGCGTATACTTCTGGGAGGACCTGGATGGAGCAGTGTGCTGGTGGGAGGTAGGGATGGTCAACTCTAGCAGCTTCCATTAGAACAGGGGAATGGTGAGGGTAAATGGGGCGTAAGGATAAGAGTACATAGCCTTAAGGATCGCTTTGCTCTGAAGGTCCAGAGAAGTGTGACATGTGAAGGTGCGCGTGCATGTGAGTGCTCTGCGCAGTCTTTGCTCTGGGGGATAATTGCTCTGGGTGTTGGCAGTAGTCAGTGATTTTATTTTTCAGGTAGTAGCCCAAAACAGGGATATGGCTTTTTTCTTTTTTGGGGGTGGGATTGAAGTGGGGATGAGTTCTGGTAGAGCCTTTCTCTGTTATATTTATATTAATCTGTTCATATATTCCTCCTTACTTCCGATGGCTTTTTTCGTACATATATAAAAGCCCAGACACTTTATTTCCCCTACTAGGTCTGTACATGATCTGTTCCTGCGTACTTTGCCAGCCTCATCTTGTACCACTTTCCCCTTTTCTCTTACTAAGAGTCAATTATGCTGGCCTTCTTCAGTTTGTTTCTTATGTTAAGGCCTTATTGTCAGTTGTTTTCCCTATCTGGAGATCTGCGTTGCTGGGTTTCTCTTGTCATTCATGTTTCTTGTAAATGTCACTTCGGAGAACCCTTCCCTGAATACCCAGTCTAAAGTAACACATTCAGTTGCATTCGGATAATGTTAAACATTATCTTATTTTCTTCATATCACTACTCTTCTTTTTTTCACAGATTTGTCTTCTTCAACTAGAGTGTAAGCTGCATGCAGTCAGGGACACTGTTTTCTTCTCTGCTGTATTCTCAGCACCTAGAGCAGTGGCTGGTACACAGCAGGCTTTCAGCAATTTTACTGACTAAATCAGTTAAATTAGCTGCGTGTGGTTCAGCGTGAAGTAGTTTATTGTCCAAAATTGATCACTTTTCTTTATTCAGCAAATACTTATTAAGCGTACATCGTGTATCTTGTTGGGCTTCTGGGACTGCAGAGATGCCTTAGATGTCGGTTCTGTCACTCAAGGAAGGCAGCAATAAATAACAATTAAGACTAGTGGGTTTGGTGTTCAAGTCCAAGCACTGCCACTTGGTAAATTGTGACCTTGGCAAGGTAATAAAGTGTCTAATCCTTTAGTTTTCTATCTACCGCATAGAATTATTAGTAGAAATAAATAAATGAATAAAGCACTTAGTACTATGTTTGGCATATAATGTATGCTCAGATATTGGCTTTTTAAGAAAAGCTTCTAATTTTATTTTTATTTTAGCTGGCTTGAATTGAATTATGGGAATTTTAAGTAAGAGTATGGGTGGTATATAGAAAAGATAGAAATATGAATAGAAAAAAAGATAGTAACATGAAGGAGTATGTGAATGATTGAAGTATAGAAGTAATTCAGAAGATTGAAGCTTTTTTCCATTTATATTACTGTTAATTTTCTATGTATATTGTACATTCACATATGTTAATTTCTCTTTGCCAGGTTTCCATGGATCTCAATAGTGCCAGCACTGTTGTTCTTCAGGTCTTAACGCAGGCCACCAGTCAGGATACTGCTGTGTTAAAACCAGCTGAGGAGCAGTTGAAACAGTGGGAGACACAGCCAGGTTTCTATTCAGTGTTGCTGGTAAGTTGTTCTAAAATAGTTCACTATTATTTTTAATAAAATGAGATACCATTATTTTAATTGTTGTAACTGTTTAATTGTTCTGCTTGTATTGGTGGTTTACTGTAGTGAAACTGATTTCAAATGTTTGATTGTCCTTGCCACTGCCATTTATTAATTCAGGGCATGGTTCTTTGAGGATGTTTAAGAAATATTTGTTGATGAATGAATAAATGACCAAGTGGGGTATTGGTAGTACCTGCTCAGGGCAACACAATGCTGATTTTCTATTTTAGCATGTTAATGCTGACCTCAAGACTATAGGTAGTACACTTTCAAGTTTTGTCTTTATCCTTGCCCCAGTTAATTTATGTTGTCAGAGTTGTTCAGGTCTCCCCTCTGTAGCATCAGAGTCAGGTCTACCTTGCTCAGTGTGTTTCACTTTAAAACATTGTTTTCTTTTCCCAACTAAAATTTTCATTTTCTTAACATATCTGATCTTTTCCTGAGTGTTATGGGAAATAGTATAATAATTTAATTAATATATGCTTTAACTAAACTTTTCTGGGAGTTTAAAGCTTTTGGTTAATTAATCAAAATTGTTTTCTCAATGCCAGAATGAAAGTATATCTTCTTTTTTTCCGAGGAAGATTGGCCCTGAGCTAGCATCTGTTGCCAGTCCTCTTCTGTTTTTCCTTTTTTTCTCCCCAAAGCCCCAGTAGATAGTTGTATGTCATAGTTGTACATCCTTCTACTTGCTCTATGTGGGATGCTACCTCAGCATGGCTTGATGAGCAGTGTGTAGGTCCGTGCCCAGGATCCAAACTGGTGAACCCTCCAGGCTGCCGAAGCAGAGCGTGCGAACTTAACTGCTACACCACCGGGCTGGCCCTGGAAAGTATATCTTTTTTTTTTTCTGTGAGGAAGATCAGCCCTGAGCTAACATCCATGCCAATCCTCTTTTTGCTGAGGAAGACCAGCTCTGAGCTAACATCTATTGCCAGTCCTCCTCCTTTTTCCCCCTTTTTCCCCCCAAAGCCCCAGTAGATAGGTGTATGTCATAGTTGCACATCCTTCTAGTTGCTGTATGTGGGATGCCGCCTCAGCATGGCCAGACACGCTGTGCGTCGGTGTGCGCCCGGGATCTGAACCTGGATCGCCAGTAGCGGAGTGCATGCACTTAACCACCAAGCCATGGGGCCGGCCCCCACTATATCTGTTTTTTATTGAGGGCCTTCCTTATTCTTTTTTTCTCCTGAAAATTTGAGAACTGTGATTAATGTTTGAGATTTAGTTTCTGGCCAGGGCAATGAGGCTACCAGTTGGATCAAAAACTAATCCAGTATTTGTGACTGGGTCGCAAATTCAGAGCAAAACTGTTTGCCATGTCTTGTAAAATAGAAAATTATAGCAATTGACATACAGATTTTGGCTTCATGGCTAAAAAGTTTGTTAAATTTAAGAAGATACTGGTCACGACTGTAAGGGAAATTAATTGTTTAGAGTCATACTTGATATTCTGAATATACATGAAAGTTGGCTGTTTGGCTTAGTACCACAAAAAGATAAACAGATTGATTTTTAAAGATACTAAAGAAAATATTTTTATTTAAATAATCCCAGCATCATATTTGTAAATTTGGGGCACAGTATAAATCTTTAGAAAATCTCTGAGTATCTTGACTCTTCATATGCTTATTTAAATAAATATCCTCTATAATTAGCCTTGTTTTTTTTCAGGCCAAAATATAAAACATTTTTGGAATTTATTATTTTAGTTACTGCTGGACCTTAAAACAGCCAATAGTCGTGCTTAACTATTGACTTTTTGTGCAATGTATGAGTTATTAATAATAAGTGCCTAAACCTTTTGTTTTTATTTTTACTGGCTATACTTTTCTTCTTGGAGGGATAGTAAAATTTCTTTTAGATGGAATAGATTATATTTATAATAGATTTAAAAACTGTGAAGTTTAACTTAATTCTTCTTTTTTCCCTGTACTCATGGTCTTGTCACAGTTATTTTAGTCTTAGCTGTTCATTCTAGACCGGAGAGTCCTGAATTTGTATGCCCGATCTCAGGCTTGTGTTCTAGTCCTATTATTGAAATCCTTATGGAATATTTCTACTTGGATTGACGTCTGCAGCTTGACTTTTCTTGGTTTCCTTAGTGTAGCTGAGACAGGCTGAGAGCCACGAACTTCCACAATATTCGCCTATTACTTCCATTCATTCACTCATTTACTCAGCAGATATCTATGAAGTTTCTGTTAATGCTGGGCTCTGTGCTAGACTCCAGGCATAAGACATGACTCAATCTAGTGTGGAAGGTAGACATGTAAAGTGTTAAAATTGAATGTGATTAATGTGGTAAGAGAAGTCCATTCTTTCTTTTGCAAAAGAAACCAAAAGAAGGACTCTGACTCAGTTGTCAGAGGTATTAAGGAATAAATGGGTGTCACACGACTAGCTTTGTAATTTTTTTTGTATGTACATGATTTTCCAAAAAGGGGATTATGGTATACATAGCTGTTTTAATACTTAACATATAATATTTTTCTATAATAAAAAATACACTTCTACATCATTATTTTTGGCTTTGAGGTTTTCCCACACAGGATTGTGTTTAAGAGGTCAGCTCTGGGGATTTGAGTTGTCTTTGGCCCAAGGTGTAGTACAATTTCAGTTAGTTAACATATTCCTACATTTGTCCTATGCACCCACTATTCTAGATAAGTAGAGAAATAAAGCACTTTAATTTTCACTGTTTGTGATGTTTTAAATTACAGTGTAAATATTAGTTTTACTATTTTTATTTCCATATGCATTTATAATTATCAGTTATAAATTTTTGGTAACAATTTTAATAAATTTTTATCAAAAAATTTTTAAAGGTCACAGAACAATTGTAACTTTCTCCTTGATTGGTAGGATCGTGTTGCATGGTTTAGCTTGCATGGTCATTTTTACGGTCTCCCACTGCTATGCAAAGTGAGGATTGCCTGTATTTGGAATAACACAGTGAATAGAATTTTTGAGTAATGGTTAATTTTGAGTTGAAATTATTTACATCACATCTACCTTTTATATCACTTAAAAATGTTCTGCTGTCAAACTTATTTGTAAGCATAATTGTTTTGATAAGGAGGATACTTTGAAATAGTTTATTTTGTATCATGTATTAATAACCTAGGGGATTTGACTCCTTAGAATCTTTGAATCTATGCTGTGGTGGGTCTACTTTTTCTTTTTTTTAGTTTAGAAGGTGTTTATTTTAGTTTTGTGTGTGTATGTAGGTTGTGATAATATAATTAGGTATATATGTTTCCAAGTTTTTTTATTAGGAAAATTTTCAAACATGCCTAAAACTAGAATAGTATAATGAATCTTAACATATCCATTACTCAGCTTAAACAGTTAACATACCACTGAGCAGGTGTAGATTTTTATATGAATTGTAGAGCTATAGATATTTAGAAAATAACAATATGATATATGTAGTGATAAAATTTAAATGAAACATTTAATTAAAAAATCTATCCATACTTTATTGTGGGTGTATTATATTTTTAACTTTCTACATGTTCATTCTAATACTATGTTTTTTATTTACAGAATATTTTCACAAACCACACCCTGGATATAAATGTTAGGTGGCTTGCTGTGCTGTATTTTAAAAATGGAATTGATCGTTACTGGAGACGTGTAGCACCTCAGTAAGTTCCCGTTACTCGCCCCCTCCCATTGTAATCCTTCCCGAATTCAGGGAGGTATGAGATTGTACCTGTTAATCTTCAAAAGAAAGTGTTTGTGCTTGCTTCAGCAGCACATACACTAAAATTGGAACAATACAGAGAAGATTAGCAAGGTCCTTGTGCTAGGATGGCATGCAAATTCATGAAGCGTTTGATATTTACAAGAAAAAAAGCACATTAAGTACTGAATAAGAAAAGCATTCTAGGGGCCGGGTCCCGTGGCGCGGTGGTTAAGTGCCTGCTCTTCTCTTGGGTTTGGCAGGTTCGGATCCCCTGACGCACCACTTGTCAAGTCATGCTGTGGTGGAGTCCCATATAAAGTGAGGAAGATGGGCACAGATGTTAGCCCAGGGCCAATCTTCCTCAGCAAAAAAGAGGAGGATTGGCAACAGATGTTAGCTCAGGGCTGATCTTCCTCACACACAAAAAGGAAAAGCATTCTGTGTAGTTAATTACAAATCAATATCTATATTATTGCTTTTCTCCATGAGTTTTTTTGTTTGGGGGGATGTGAATTTCTTGGCCTTCTGTTTTCGAGGATCTCTAATTTTATGGGAACAAAATGCTGAGTGAATGAGTCATATTGAGAAAAAGCGTTTTTTTTAAAAAGAAGTGTGAGATTAGAATTTTGAAAAGAAGTCATTGAAAAGGAAATTCCCGGTCCTTTCTGAGCCAGCTGGATGTTAATTCCCTGAGTCTTTTGCATAATTTCCTTTGTGGTGGGAATAGGGTAGTGTACATGTTTAATCTCATCAGATTCGGTTGTAACTGCTCTGTAGGTGGTTAAGTGAACAGATTTCTCTTCATAGTTAATTATATACTATATAATTGATGGAAAAGCTATGTAGACATGACCCTGGAATTCATTTGATAGAAAATGGTGAACTTTGCTCAAGAAGTAACGTAGTCTTTGTTCTCCAGTAGGTGGCCCTATAGCTCTTTATGTTCTTGCATTCATAGGGCCTTAAAAAAAAACTTGTCTGAGTACTTCACAGTGCTCATAAAATATACCCTTGAATAATATTGGAAGCAACTAGAATATTTTAAGGCTACATTTAGGATCCTATAGTAAGCAAACCCTTCTTATTTTAGAGTTAATTCATAATTTTGAGAGAAATGAAGTAATTAGTGATTAAAAAATTGTGTTAGTGAGTTACTGGAAACAGTGCAGCAGCTCATACTTTTCTACTGCTATGTCCAATTAAGTTTAGATGTCTCTGAAATTCATCTTGTTTTACTGGTTATATGAAGAATGGTTATATATGACTATTTTGGAAGGGAGAGTAAATTATGTTTAAATATTTCAGATTGTGCTTTCACATAAAGAATTAGAAACTGTAATTTAGTTTAAATTTAAAAAGTTAAGGGAGGCCGGCCCTGTGGCTTGGTGGTTAAGTGCGCGCGCTGCGATGCTGGTGGCCCGGGTTCGGATCCCGGGTGCGCATCGAGGCACCACTTCTCCGTTCATCCTGAGGCCGAGTCCCACATACAGCAACTAGAAGGATGTACAGCTACGGCACACAACTATCCACTGGGGCTTTGGGGGGAAAAATAAAATAAATAAAATCTTTAAAAAAATAAATAAATAAATAAAAAGTTAAGGGAGATATCATGATATTAGGCAGCTAAATCTCAAGCTGTCTCTTTTAGTATATATTGAGATACAAGCTAGAAAGGAGATGATTGTACTTAGGGAGCAAGGATGGTAAGAATGTACTTAGAAAGGAAGCAAGGGATCAAAGATTAGTAATCCAACTCATATTTAAATTTAAGACACTTAAAAAGTCTGCTTGTTTGTGTTATCTAAATTTCATCTTATATAGTTTATACTCTTACCACTATTTTCATGGAATGAGGGTTAATTTAAGCTTATATAACATTGCTATATACAATGCAACTTTAACTTAATTATCCTAATTAGATACTGTCCAATTTCTGCTTGGGGCATAGTCTCAATTCATCTAATGATAACCTGTGTGTAAAATTAAGGATGGAATGTTAACTATTATTGGAGAATTGCTAAAGACATGAGTTTTCTCCAGGTTAATGGCTTGTTTTCTTTAATATGTTTATATTTTTTGCATGGTCTGTATTTTGGTAGCTAATCATTTTATTATACTCTCTTAATTAAAATTATGAAAACTGTTGGAGCTGGCTCCTTGGCATAGAAGAAAACTTGAATTTCAAGCTTGAAGCAAAACATTATAGGAGAAAACATTATTACAGGGGTTTGGGGATAGAGGGCAGCTATTAAAGTGGGGAAGTGCAGCATTGTTATAAAAGGATTAGAGAGATCATTTCTAATGGGAAAGCAGAGACTTGCATTGGGCTTTGACTGTTTTCACCTAAATGTTTGTCTTAGTCTTGTCTTCTCGTTTCTTTACTAACCTTGGGCAACTCACTATTAAGATTTAAAAAAACTTTTATTGAAATATAGTATATAACGAACTTAAAAAGTGCACAAAAGAAGGGTACAGTTTGAATGTTTATAATGTGAACACACCCATGTAACTACCACTCAGAACTAGAGAGAACATTACTAGCACCGCTGAAGCCTCCCTCCTGCACCCTCACAGTCATCCATCCCCTCCTCGCCAAAGTAAGCATCTGACCTCTCTCACCATGGATTAGTTTTACCTGTTTCTGAACTTCTTACAAATGGAAATAATATAGTATGTTCTCTTTTATGTCTGACTTTAATCAGTATTATATTTGTGAGGTTTGTCCATATAGTTGCATGGAGCAGTAGTTTACTGTTTTATGTGGGAGTGTAACATTCCATTTTAGGAACATAGAACAGTCATCCATTTGTTCTGCTGTTGATGAGCAGTAAGGTTGTTTCTAGCTTTTGACTGTTAAAAATAATGCTTCTTTGAAAACTCTTATTGCATGTAAGTGTGCATTTTATTGTAATTTATGGTCAGATATATGTTCAGCTTTAGCAGATGCTGTCAATTAGTTTTCCAAACTGGTTGTACCAGTTTACACTCCCACCAGCAGCATATGAGTGTTGGCATTTTCTCCACATTTTCATCAGTACTGGTCTAACCCATCTTTCATTTTTGTTATGCTGGTGTCCTTGGTAATTTTTACATTTTCCTGATGAACAGTGAGTACCTTTTGCATATACTTTATTAGTCATTTGAACATCGTCTTTTGTGAAGGGCCTGCCATTTGCAAATTAAAAAAAGAAGGGTTATTTTATTGACTTGTGGGACTTTGTATATATTTTGGATATACAGTCATCTCTTGGTATCTGAGGGAGATTGGTTCCAGGACCCCTTGAGGATTCCAAAATCCTTGGGTGCTCAAGTCTGTTATATAAAATGGCGTAGTATTTGCATAAACCCACGTACATCCTCCTGCATACTTTAAATCATCTCTAGATTACTTATAATGCCTAACACAATGGAAATGCTATGTAAATAGTTGTTATACTTTATTGTTTAGGGAATAATAAGAAAAGAAAGTCTGTACGTGTTCACTACAGATGTAACCATCTAGGCCTGTTGATCCGTGGTTGGTTGGATTGATGGGTCGATGTGGAACCTGTGGATATGGAGGGCCGATTGTAAGTCGTTTGTTGAATATATGTATTGGAAATATTTTCTCCCACTTTGTGACTTGCCTTTTCACTTTCTTAAATGGTGTCTTTTTTTTTTTGTGAGGAAAATCAGCCCTGAGCTAACATCCGTGCTAATCCTCCTCTTTTTTTTTGCTGAGGAAGACCAGTTCTGAGCTAACATCTATTGCCAATCCTCCTCCTTTTTTTTTTTCCCCCCAAAGCCCCAGTAGATAGTTGTATGTCATAGTTGCACGTCCTTCTAGTTGCTGTATGTGGGACGCTGCCTCAGCATGGCCGGAGAAGCGGTGCGCCGGTGCGCGCCCGGGATCCGAACCCGGGCAGCCAGTAGCGGAGCGCGCGCACTTAACCGCTAAGCCACGGGCCGGCCCCGTAATGGTGTCTTTTGATGAGAAGTTCTTTTTTATTTTATTTTTTTGTGAGGAAGATGAGCCCTGTGCTAACATCTGCCAGTCCTCCTCTTTTTTTGCTGAGGAAGACGGCTCTGGGCTAACATCTGTGCCCATCTTCCTCCACTTTTTATGGGACGCTGCCACAGCATGGCTTGCCAAGCGGTGCGTTGGTGCGCGCCCAGGATCCGAACCAGGCAAACCCCGGGCTGCCGCAGCAGACAGCGTGCACTTAGCTGCTTGCGCCACTGGGCCGGCCCCTGGGGCTTTTTTTAGTTGTTTTTTTTGTTACTGATTTCATTCTTTGAAATATGCTGTCTTGTTTTTTGATCCCAGCATTTGATATTTTGGTAAATATTTTATGTGCACTTGAAAGAAATGTGTGTTTTGCTGTTGTGGATTCTAATGTTTTATATATGTTAATTAAGCCAAATTTGTTAATTATGTTACTCAAATCTTTTATATTCTTATTGATTTTGTGCTACTTTTTCCATCATTTACTGAGAGAGGTGTATCAATCTCCAAATATGATCATGGACTTGCCTGTTTCTTTTCATTCTGGTTTTGCTCTCTGTGTATTGAGGTTATTTTAGGATCATACAAGTTCAGGGTTATTATATTCCTGTAGAATTGACCTTGTCTTAATTATGAAATGTGCCTCCGTATCTCTGATAATGTGTTTTGGCTTAAAGTCTAGTTTGTCTGATTTTAATAGAGCCATGCCAGCCATCTTATGGTTGCATAGTATATCTTTTTCTTTCAATATTTCTTTGTTATTCTGTTTAAAATCTTTCTCTTATAAGCAGCAAATAGTTGGGTTTTGTTGTTTTATCCAGTCTGATAAATGTTGTCTTTTAATTTTAGTATTATATCCATTTACTCTATGTATATCCATTTAATATAATTATAGATAAAGTTGAGGTTAAATCTACCATCCACTGTTAGTTTTCTGTTTGTTTCTGTCTGATCTTTGTCCCCCTCTTGCCTTTTTTTTCTTTCTTGCTTTCCTTTGGATTATTCAGGAAAAATTTTTTTACTCAATTTTTCCCTCTACAAGGCTATTAGGATACTTTTATTACCCAAGTGATTTTGCTAGAGATTATAAAATGCATTCTTGACTTATTAGAGGTTATCTTAGATTAGTACTTTACTTTTTCCAGGTAATGCAAGAACCTTATAATACTTTTTTTTTTTTTT